TGCCTGAGACTTTTACACAGTACTATATTTTATTTATATATATATGACCTATGGTCATGAGCTGTAGGTAGTGACTGAAAGAACGAGGTCACAAACACAAGCAGCTAAAATGGGTGGCTGGGCTCTCCCTTAGAGGTAGGGTGAGAAGCTCAGTCATTCAGGAGGGACTCAGAGTAGAGCCACTCATGAGGAGCCAGATGAGGTGGCTCGGGCAGCTGGTCAGGATGCCTCCTGGACACCTCCCTGGTGAGGTGTTCAGGGCATGTCCCACTGAGAGGAGGCCCCAGGGAAGACCCAGGACACGCTGGAGAGACTGTGTCTCCCGGCTGGCCTGGGAACACCTTGGGATTCCCCCAGAGGTGCTGGACGAAATGGCCAGGGAGAGGGAAGTCTGGGTTACGTATACGCTCTGTCTGCCAAGCGTCATGTGATCACAACTAAGCCAATGATTCTTCTCCTTCTCTTGCTGCAGGATCGTGGGTAATCGTTTCCCATGCTCGGTATCAGTTGGCGTACCTCACTCCTTAAAGTCAAAATTTAGTAGAAAAGCACCACCCGAATAAGCGCGTAGCAGTGCGAGCCATGAATCTGTTTAACGACAATGCAATGTCACATTTCCAGAAAATTGAAAAGGAGGCAAAAGCAGCTGTCATTGGATAGGTTCCTTGTTAAAGTCACACAAAAAGAAAAAGATTCCAGTGAGCCAACAGATAGCAGTGATTCTGTTATAGTGAAAGTTGTCCTACAAAATAACCCTCCTCTTCTCCTCTCTCTTATTTCCCTCACACCATCCACGATTCTTTTCAAATTAAAGTGCAGGTTAATTTGTTTTATGTATTTTTACTTTATATTTTGTATTAATCGTTTTTATATGAATATTTTTGGGTTGTGGAACGAATCATCTGAGTTTCCCTTGTTTCTAATGGGAAAATTCGCTTTCATATGAGTGCTTTGGATTACGAGCACGTTTCTGGAACGAATTATGCTCTCAATCCGAGGTTTTACTGTATATAAATTATATTATATGTATATAGAGTGTGTGTGTGTGTGTGTGTGTGTGTGTGTGTGTGTGTGTGTGTGTGTATAAATAGGAGTGAAAAAGAAATTTTCATTAATTTATATTTGTTGTGGGTGGCACTGTCTTGCCTCACCTGTGCTCTATGCATGGTGTTGCAGTTTGCATAATTTCTGAGTTCTTTTCTGCAGTACAAAGTCATGTATTTAGGCTAATTGGCGTTTCTTCCCACAACTTTGGTTTTTCATCTCTTACAGCGGGAGAATGGAAAGCTCCGGGAACTGTTGAGCATTAGCCAAGATGCCTTTCTAGTCCTGAAGAAGGAGGACACTTCAGAGGGCACTTCACTGTCTGGCCTGTTGACCAGCGCAGACCTGAGGCTGAGAAAGAGCTAACGGCTCTTTCAGCTGTGACCTCCACATCCCTTGTTGTGGGGGGCATTTTTAATCCTCTAGCTACCACCATGGGGTCTGGCTCGCATCACTGCAACAAGTCGTACCCCCTCTATCCTAACGTTGTTTCTGTACAGCTCTATGAGTGAGACCTTCCCAGTATCTCTCAGTTTGGCAAGTGACATGAAGTGCCAGACCAAGTGGATGAATAGATGATTGTTAGTTTAACTTGAAGGAAAGATACATCCATTCAAGTTGCTAGAATGCAGATTACATTCACAATATCTGAAATTATCTATTTGTGGTGCTTTGGTTGAATTATTTATTTTATTGGTTATTGGTAAAGCTGGTGTTGTGCCATGAGTGGGGAAATTAGGTAAACCTTTTAGAAAACTGGACAGAAAGTATAATATGTTAATTCAAACTAAACATTCTGTTGGTGGTTTGCTTGGATTTTCTTGTATGTAAATAAAATGAGAAACCGCTTCAGCCCTGTAGCTGATGAACGGAGAACTGAAAATAAAACCTTAGTTATGTTATGATCTGTGACCTGTGCAAACTTGCAGTACTTAATTTTTAAAACCATGGATACCAACCAGATCTGCTATCCGATTACTTAATATCATATTATGACCATTATACCAAATGTCAGATGTTTCACTGGTGCAAATTTTCACATTGTAAGCGGAAGTTCAAACTCCCCACTTTCCCCCACTTCTTCTGTAGTAATACCTTGATATTGCCTAAGATTAGTCAGCACCCCACACACGCTCAATTCAGCCCAGAGGCATAGGAGAGATTTTTGAAGTGGGAGAGACCAAATGGTGAACATACACTCACCTAAAGGATTATTAGGAACACCATACTAATACGGTGTTTGACCCCCTTTAGCCTTCAGAACGGCCTTAATTCTACGTGGCATTGGTTCAACAAGGTGCTGAAAGCATTCTTTAGAAATGTTGGCCCATATTGATAGGATAGCATCTTGCAGTTGATGGAGATTTGTGGGATGCACATCCAGGGCACGAAGCTCCCGTTCCACCACATCCCAAAGATGCTCTATTGGGTTGAGGTCTGGTGACTGTGGGGGCCATTTTAGTACAGTGAACTCATTGTCATGTTCAAGAAACCAATTTGAAATGATTCGAGCTTTGTGACATGGTGCTTTATCCTGCTGGAAGTAGCCATCAGAGGATGGGTACATGGTGGTCATAAAGGGATGGACATGGTCAGAAACAATGCTTAGGTAGGCTGTGGCATTTAAACGATGCCCAATTGGCACTAAGGGGCCTAAAGTGTGCCAAGAAAACATCCCCCACACCATTACACCACCACCACCAACCTGCACAGTGGTAACAAGGCATGATGGATCCATGTTCTCATTCTGTTTACACCAAATTCTGACTCTACCATTTGAATGTCTCAACAGAAATCGAGACTCATCCGACAAGGTAACATTTTTTGGGGGGGGGGGCTGCCTTCTTCAGTGGTCCGGGGTTAGGCTTCCTGGCAGGTGGGGTGGGCCCTCTCCCCATTCTTCCTCCACTCCCCCTCGCCGTTAGCAGTCTCAAGATCTTTTGTTTTTGTTCTGGGCTCTCCAACTGTAATTTGAATCCTTCAAGTTCTTTCACTTCATGTTTTCCATGGATGCCAGGGCAGGGGGATTTTTTGAAATATCTGGACCAGGCATTCAATGCTGTTTGCAATGTTTGCCTTCATTCAATTGCCATCATGATTCTTTCATGGACGGGGTCTAGGGGGCTTGTGCCTGTATATGGGTTGACTTAGTTGGAAAGGCATTTTAACCAGTTGTTTTTTCTTTCTAACTTTTTTCCTCATTAAAATCACGAAAAGTTATTTTATTGCACACCTTGGACATAACAAAATAGTAACACCTGCTCGCCCGTTCGGCCCCTGGCTGTGGCTCGGTGGCTGCCTGCGGGTCCTGCGCCGTTGGGTCGGCGGTCGCCTCTGGGTCCTCCCCAGGTTCCTCGGTGCCGGTCCTCGGCCTCCCCTCCGGGTCCGTGTTGGCCACCTCCGGGCCCTTCTGCTTCAGCGGGGCGTCGGACGGCGCCTTCGCTGGCTCCGGCTTCCCCCTTTTGCCCTCCTCCGCCGGTGTTCCCTCCTGCTCCCTCCGTGTCCCCTTCGTCTCTCCCTCGTCCCGTTCCCTTGGCCCCTGTGTGGTTCCCTCCTGCTCCCTTCTCCCCTTCACCTGAGGCCCCTCCGGCCACTGCCCGTTGCCCGCCTGGGCTCCCTCAGGCTCCCCTTTGTCCCCCTTCCGTTCCGGTCTCCCCTGTCTGCTCCTCCTCCCTTTGTCCCGCCTGTGTCTGTTCCTCAGCCCGCTGTTCCTCCTCTGTTCACTCCTGGCCCCTTTGTGTCGCCTGTGGGTGTTCCCTCCGTGTCGCCCTTTTCTGTCTGCCTGTCTGTGTTCCCTGTCCTCTGTCAGGTCTTGTCGTTTTTCTGGTCCCTGTTCCTGTTTTGTGTCTCTGTCCTGTTTCCGGTGTCTCGTTGAGGTTTTTTGCTTTTGTCTTTCAGGTCCTGTTCCCTCGTCTCGTCCGTCGCCTCCTCTCGGGCGCGCCTTTGGGGGGGGGGGGGTT